AAAAATTCTTCTGATAAATGTTGGAAAGGATGTCAACAGATAGGTACCTTTTATCACATGTGGTGGTCATGCAAAGAAATAGTGAAATATTGGTCGATGGTACACGAAGAAACACAAAAAATCCTGAAGAGAGTATTCAAGAAGAAACCAGAATATTATTTATTAGGTTTTACAGACCTAGAACTACAACTAGATGAAAATGAGGACAAATTATTTACATATTTTACGACAGCGGCAAGAATATCTTTAGCAAAAACTTTGGAAACAGGACAGTATCCTTACCATAGAAGAATGGTTAGGGAAAATTAAAGAAATAAGAGAAAAGGATGATTTAACTTTTTTCTTGAAGAAAAATACCGGGAATCCGATAAAGAGGACAGATTGGACCCTCTATGATAATTATGAGAAAGAAAGTAAGAGCAAATGGTTATTTATTTTTTGGAAGCAACGAAAACATTTTTTTCAGGAGATACAACACCTGAAGATGAGATAGAAGTCAACACTTTAAAAAAATTCTTTTTTTTCTTTTTTTCTTTTTTCCATTCTTTTTATTTTATTTGAACTGAGGGAGGGGTGTGGTGTTTTTCTTTCTACTCATTTAACGTTTCCTACTGTTCTATCTTCTTTTAAATATTCACCCTCTTTCGCTGTAATTCTATAATATTTCAATAAAAAACTACTTTAAAAAAATAAAGGAAAAAAGAGAAAAAAGAGCTATATAAGATAAAATAAAATTTCTGGGACTTCCTGGCATCTTCTTTGAGGTTTCTGTCTTTTCTTTCTTTCTTTCATCTTCTTTCATATTTGTTGTTCTACTTTTCTTTTGTTCTTTTGGGTGTTGTTAAATTCTTTTTGGATGTTGTTAAATTTTTTACACATCCTCTCGGTATCTTGCTCTAAATAACCTGTTATTTCACTCCAGTCCATCTCTTTATTTGAATTTCCCTTACTTTTTGACATTAGATATGGTAGTCTATCCATACTCCTAATTTCTAAAAATTTTATTATCCAATCTTCTATCTTTGGTAATCCCTTTTTTCTCCAATGCTTTGCAAAGCAGATGCTTTCCGCTGTGGTCATCAGGAATAATAATTTGTTCTTGTTTATATCTAATTTTTGCTCCGTCATTCCTAACAGGAATGTTTTTGGTCTCCATGGGATTTTTATCTTGAATATTTCCTGTATTTTTGTCTGAATTTCTTTCCAAAAGGTTTTTGTCTTTTTTACGACCACTATATATGGTAGAATGTTCCCTCATTCTCTCCATATTTCCAGCATTCTGTATTTATGTTTTTATAATATTTTCCTAATTTATGTGGTGTCATGTGCCATCTATGCATCATTTGATCCAATTTTCTTTTAGGTCATATGCTTGTATATGTTTTCATTGTTTTATTCCAAATTTATTCCCATTCTTCGAGTCCTACTGAACTTCCTACATTCTCTGTCCATCTCTTCATGCATTCTTTTGTACTTTCTGCTCCTATGTTCCATTCTAGTAATTTCTTATACAATTTGTTTATCATTTTCTTTTCTGTTTTCATTATCTTGTCCGAAAAAGTTTCCTCATTTGTGAATCCAATTAATTTGTCTTTTTCATAAGTGTTCCTTTATTTGCCAGAATTGGTACCATGATATGTTTTAATAGTTGGTTCATTTCTTCCTGTGTTTACAATATAAATCTTCCATCTCGTTTGTTAAGTAATGCTTTATATTTAGGTCACCTATCCCGTCCCTGCACTCTTCTTTGAGAGGCTTCCAGCGGAGATACCCAGAGTGGTGTTTTGTTATAAAATCTGCTTTTATATTTCTCCCAAACTTTAGCTATGGCTGATCTGACAAAATGATTGCCAAAAATTTTCTCCAATTTTATTTTTTCATATCAGAGGTATGAGTACCATCAGTGTCTTAGCTCTGTCCCCTTTAAATTTAAGATTTTTTCTTTTTCTAATTTTGTCCAATCTAATATCCATGTCAGTGTGCTGGCTTTGAGGAAGAGTGTTAAGTTGGGCAGCGAGAGACCGGCTTTCATCTGTCATATTTTTGAAATTGATCCTTGATTCCCTCCCCCCTTGTCATATGTATTTTGTTATGTCTCTGTTCCATTCTCTTATAATTTTTTGACTTCTTGTAATTGGGATATTTTGGAAAAGGAAGATCATTTTTGGCAATACATCTTTATACTTGATATTCTGCCTAATAAGGATAATGTTAGATTTTTCCACCAGTGTAGGTCCTTGTTAATTTTTTCCCATTTTTCCATAATTGTTCTGTAATAATTGTGAGGGTTTTTTGGCGTTACGATTATTCCTAAATATTTTAGTTTTGTTGTTACTTGTATATTCCAGCTTTCTTTTAATAAATCTATTTTTTTCTTTTGAATATTTTTTCGTCATTGCATTTGTTTTTTCCATATTAATTTTGAAACCTGATACTTCTTCGAATTTCCTTATTGTTTATAGCCATTTCCCCATGTTTTTAGTCAGATCTTCAATTATGCAAATTATGTCATCCGCAAACGCTCTGAGTTTGTATGTTTGAACTTGTATTGTTGCTCCTTTCAATTCTTTGTCCTCCTTTATTTTGTTTCATAATACCTATAATGTTAAGATGGAGATTAGTGGCGATAAAGGGCAGCCCTGTCTTGCCCCTTTTTGTATTTCTATGGTCTTGGTCTCTTGGCCATTTACTACTATTTTGCTTCTTGTTTTTCATATATTGCTCCAATTATATTCTGAAAATAGTACCCCATATCCATATTCACATTGTCCCTTTCAGCATCCAATGTGAGGAATAGTACTTCTTTTTGATTTTAAAGTTCATTGTATTCTATCAGATCTAATATGATCCTTACATTTTCTCTTTGATGTCTGTTCAGTAAGAAACCTGTCTAATCTTCTTTTATCCAACTATTAATAGTTTTTGAATCTTTCTGCCACTATGTTGCTAAATATTTTATAATCTAAATTTAATAAGGAGATTGGTCTATAGTTCTCTGCAATGCTTTATTTTTAGGTTCTTGATTGCCTTTGCTATCTCTTGTTCTGGGATTTCTCTGTTCAACTCTTCTCTTTGTTTTTCTGTAATCCTATGAATTTTTTTTCCTGTCCCAAGTATTCTGATATCTTTTTTTAAAAAAATCTGGTCACTTTTATAGACAGTATTGTAAAATTTAGAAAACAAGTTCACAATATCTTCCTCTTAAATATGTTTTCTTCATCTCTCAGTTTTGTTACAAATGTCGCTTCTCTCTTCTTTCTTAATCTTCTTGCCAGCCATTTCCCTGGATTATTTGCATTTTGGAAATAATCCTGCCTTATATATTTCAATTGTTTGGCTCTCTCTTCCATCCCCAATAATTCCCTTGGTTTCTGTAGAAGTTCTATATTTTTGTGACCTCCTATTGTTTGGATTTTTTAAATTCATCTTCCTCTTTTTCTATTTCTTCCAATATTTCTCATTTTCTGTAATTTTATTTTTTTAGTGATTTTTGTTGTATAAAGTTTCTTCTTATCACTGCATTGTGTATATGTGTGTTTCTGTGGTGTCATTTATTTCAAAATACTCTTTTGGGGTCTTCCTATTTTTTCCTATTTTTTCTTTTTTCAACAGATTTTCATCTAACTTCCACCTCCTTTCAAATCTTGGTATTGAAATTTTGAGTTCCAGTGGCCAGTGATCCAAGTCCATTCTTGACAGGATTTTTTATTTTCCTTATATTTGCTGTTATTGACTTTGATGTCTAAATCATGTCTATCCTTGACCAGCTTTTGTGTCTGGCCGAGAAAAATGTATAATCTTTTTTGCCTTCCTTTTTTGTTCTCCAAGCATCTTTCAAATCCAACTCTTTTAGCATCTTCATGAATGTACTTGGTAGGTTCCCTAGCTGGTTTATTTTTCCTTTCTTCTGTTGGTTTGCATTACTTCTGTCCAGATCTCTTTCTACCACTCTGTTGAAGTTCTCTGAAATTATTAAGCTATAAAATTCTTGATCTTCAATACATGTCCTTAACTTCTCTAGGAAAGTTGTTTTTGAATTATTTGGGGCAAAGATATTACAGAGTAATATCTTTTTATTTTGGACTTTAATAGTAAATCCTATCATCCTCTCTTCCTGGTTTTTAAATGCCAGTTCTTCTGGGATAGTCTTGCCTACATATGTCACCACTCTAATGTAGAAGAATAAAAGGCTTGCCCCAATATTTTATTATGTAAATAAGCCACATGTTTTGTGCTTTATGCGCCTCTTGTAAAGCCACCATATGATACTTCTTTTTTTAATTGCATTGAAAAAAATTCTTTTGTTTGGAAAGTTCAAACCGTTAATGTTGAGTAAATTCTTAAATTTTTTTGGCATGCTGCTGCTGCTTCTTCTTCTTCTTCTTCTTCTTCCTCCTCCTCTCTCTCCTCTTCCTCCTCCTCTATCTCCTCCTCTTCACCCATATCTTCTTCAACCTCTTCCAAATTTGCTATTCCCTTTTTTAAAACCCAAGATAGCATTTCTCTAGGTCTTCAAATGCAACACAATGGTAAACTTCTACCCGAAAATGATGATAGAATAATGCTGGAAGGCCTTCATATACCTAGAGAATTGTTCTTTCTAGGAATCATTACATCCCCTGACACAACCTTGTAGTGGAAGTTGACCTTAGAGTCATACTGGGGGACCTAGAGATAGCATGTCAATTAAATAATGAATAAACAAATCCACAAAAGTGAAGCCTGCAAATGTGGAGGACTGACTGTATAGATCTCCTGTATGTACCACTCTATTCTACATTGGCAATAAGATAAACTTTTCACACATGCAATTCATAACTTTGTACAGTAATACAATTCATAACTTTGTACCCTATCATGAAGTGATCAACATGCATATGCGAACTGAAGGAATGCAAGTATGTTTGTGTGTACATGTGTATGCATACGCATGTGTGTGCATGCAAGTCTGGATCATCGCTGTAAAAGTAACTACCAATATAACAAATAGGATTACTCACATAAGTTGATTCTTTCTTCAGGTTTCCCAAGCTACTGGATTTTTGCAGGGCTGAAGTTCTACAAGGAAACAGTTTGAAAAAATGTAACTAAATCTTGTGTCTCAGAAATATTATTTGAATTAGACCAGATGCTTCCTTTATTTGCTCCCTTCATTTCTTGAAATACAAAGTGTTTAATTCACTTTGCATTTTAAGTAATGAAATGAGCATATTCTGAGTGAAAGGAATATTCTGAAATGTTAATCTGCTCCACAAAAAATAGCAATGCATACAAAAGAGATACCATCTATTTCAATTAAACCGAATTATAATACTATATAATGAAACAGTATTAAGAACTATAAAACACACTGATTCAAATCTGAGCTTTGCTACAAACGTAATAGATATCCATAATCAAGCTACCTTTTAGGCCACAAATGTGAATCATAAAATCACAACTAAACACATGCTTCACTGCAAGGCTGGGGCACAGACTAAACTGTGAAGAAAGTGAAGGACATACCCAAGCCTGGATTCCTAGATTGCCTAGCATTTAAATAAGCCATCATTTGAAGCCAGCATTTATGGTTGATTTGCAGGTCCTGGCTTTCCCAAAGGAATGACAAGAGTGGGTTCAGGATAAGTTCCAATGTTAAGCTTTGCCACGTGGAAGTTTCTTTGTTAACTGTGCATTTCCCACATCCAAATGAGTCCAGGCAGAGTGACTGGGTAGTTGATCCCAGCATAAAAAATAAGACATGATTCTAAAATGTTATGCAAATAATGTTCCATCCTTATACTAATTCATGTCAAAATAATTAAAGTGCAGGGCAACATATAATACTACATTCAAGGTGACAATGCAGATAGACTTGGAAGGGATCATTATCTGTGAAATTCTCCCTTCTTCACACTTTCAAACTGCATGCTTGGAAACACACCCAAAATAGAACATTTTATGCCTTTTCCTATTCCTGAAAGGAATGATATGCAACAAAGATAGATATTTGGTGGTTTAGCCATGCAATCAATAAACATGTGTCTACACATTAGATTTAAGATTTACTTTTAAACCCGATTGCTTATTAAACCCAAAGAAAACTAATTCAAGAAGTAAGGTGTTGCTCCACTGAATATATAAAATAACCACTTGGGTATTATCATCAAAAATATAATGCTTGTGATTAAAAATATAAAAACCCTTAATATTTTATCATGAAAACTGGAGCCCAGAAGTCACCTTTATTCTGGAGAGATTTTCTGTCCCTTCAGGTGTTTTTGGACTACACCTCCCATCTACCCTTGCCATCATACACAATAGTGAAAATGGGAATGGCAGTTCAACCCCAATGTGGGTAGGCAAGTTGACCAGCCTTTTTTAAAAAAGTTTATTTTGCTCCATAATGGCTTCATTTTGACAAAGGAGCTAACGCTTTCATTCTGCAAACTTGCAACACTGATTTCTGCTTTAGAATATTCATTTCAATCTTCCATTATTTACTCTAATCCTGGGATTTCACGTAGCCCCTTTCTCTTTTGCATTCGTCCCAAAACCGTAATAAAAATGGTTTACAGCTATTTAATGTTTGTTGTGCTGCCGTTAAGTCCTTTTGATTCCAATGTATGGCAACACTATCATAGATGGGCAAGATATATTCCAAAGTGGTTTGCCAGTGCCTTCTCCTGAATATAGCCTACAGCCTCTGGCATTTGAGGAGAGCTCTCTTCCAAGCACTCACCACATCCAACTCTGCTTAGCTGTGAGATAGGATCTGGCTCCATCCCTCTAAAATTTTACTATTACGTTAATTTGGAATAATTTTGTAATCAAATCTTATCTTTACTTGCAAGAAGGATACCAAAAAATGTCAGTTGTATAATGACCAAATAAACTGTGGAAAAGAGCTAATTAATTAAGTTCATTTTCTTTTTATAATTTCAATCTGCCTGCTATTCTACCTTCCAACTGCAGATATTCATTCTCTGTTTGAATTTATGAATCCGGGCAACATGGTGCCCCTCCACATGACAGGTTGAAGCAAAACTGATTTTCTGTCTCTGGCATTTCCTCCAATGCCTGCGAGGCAGACATTAGGGACCACTCGATCACCATCAAGCTCCTTTTTCGAGGCAAGGCGTATTTCTTCATAAAACAGTCATCCCAAGCCATTGAACTGCACTTAGTAACCACAATAGGCAGTGGCTGGTCAGCAGAACCCATTGTTCAAGGCAATTTCATCATTTTGACTCCATTAAGATTGTAAGAAAATTATTATGCTAAACAATAAAAGATTGAATATCCCTATCCAAAATGCTTGGGACCAGAAGTGTTCTGGATTTTATATTTGGAACAGCTGTATTAGCATGTACATACATAATGAGATGTTAGCAGTGGAATCAAAATCTAAACATGAAATTTTTCCATGTTTGATATATTCCTTATACACATAGCCAGAAGGTAATTTTATAACCTATTTTGAATAAATTATTATACAAAACAGAACTGATGTACACTGAATCATCCGTAAGTACAAATGTCACTAACTCTGCCACATTTCTGGACAATTCTGGAGTTTTTTTTAGTACTTTGAATTTTCAAATTCTGGATAAAAGATGTTCAACCTGTACTGTGTTAGAAATTCTGTTATAAAAGCATCCAGTTCAATTCAGCAATGCACTTTATGATGTCATTGACTTAAGCATAGTCAGTATGGATTAATAATTTTGTCATATTAGATCTCTCTTTAGCCAGCCAATTTTCCCCTGGCCTTAACATAAAAGGCAACTAAAAACAAAGTGGGAAAATATTACAATATTCTTTAAATCCCTGGTGCTATATAACTTGTTTGCAGATACTTCATACTGGAACAGAAAGGAAAAATTAAGCTAGATAATAACAATGAACAGCAAGGAGAGTTAAAAGCGTGAAAAAATACTGTAGCAAAATTTTCACTATGAAAAAAACATGTCTTAGCTTTAGCTTTAGTGTATGATACTTACAATTTGGTATCACCTAGCTGTGATTCTATAGAGGACACTGGTGTGTTCTTCTCACTGTAAACAGCAGCAATATATAATATAATAAATAAAATGCATTCATAATAGAAGGGTCTCAAGTGTTGATTTTCTTTATGAGTAGAAAAAGCATGGTCCACAAATGGACCAAGATGAAATGCCTAACATAACAGCTGATGGATTTAATCTAAGTCCTTGTTGCGGGAAGCGAAGAAAACCCAGAAAAAATATTTAAGTTGAAAGACATCTTGAGAAAACCTTTATCATTAAGATATCATGGGGAGAGGGGGGTTGCATACATGGTAAAACACATGTATGCAACACATAGTTTAAAATACAATGGTGGGGAAAGTGGAGCCACTAAACTGTTTAGTATCCCCAACATTCACTGGCATTCTCTAAGCCCCACCAATTCCTATTCTTTTAAATAAAAATGGTTCATGTTTTGGGCAATTTTCTGCCCCAAGCTATGCAAACCCATATGCAGATCCAACAATGGGACTTTTTATACCACCCCATTTTCTTAATACATCCCAGAAGGCTTTGAGGATTCTCTAAATGGGAAATGGGTGTGCTGTGATGTCTCTTCTGTAGCACCGGGCTGTACATCATAGCTGACAGGGATACAATTTGTTCCCATCCCTCTAAACCAGAGGTCCTAAAACTAAGGCCCAGGGGCCGGATGCGGCCCTCCAAGGTCATTTTCCCGGCCCTCGCTCAGGGTCAACCTAAGTCTGAAACGACTTGAAAGCACACAGCAACAACAACAATCCTATCTCATCAGCCAAAAGTAGGCCCACACTTCCCATTGAAATACTAATAATTTTATATTTGTTAAAATTGTTCTTCATTTTAATGATTGTATTGTTTTAAAGTGTTTTTTGAATTACAAATAAGATATGTGCACTGTGCATAGGAATTCATTCATGTTTTTTTCAATTTATAATCCGGCCCTCCAACAGTTTGAGGGGCTGTGACCTGGCCCTCTGTTTAAGAAGTTTGAGGACCCTTGCTCTAAACAGTTGTCTCCACCACAATTACCGAGGCTTCACTCTTGATATAGTGGCTCAAAAGGCTTTAGAAATGCTCCATCTCATCTTCCAGCACTTGTAGCTAGTCAAAGCCAACTAGCTACTTACAGGAAACCCAAGGCAAGGCATGAAAGAAATAGCTGCCCTCCAAATACTGTTCCTGCTTCTGGCTATAGAAAAATTCACTTGGCTATTGTAGTAACCACCGATGATCCGTTGTTTTTAATATATATATATATATATATATATATATATATATATATATATATATATATATATATATATATAATTTCAGCTTTGCATAATTTTATCTACACTTTATTTCTATTGATGCATATACCTATAAACATCTAATTTTCATATAATTCTTTTATCTGGACTTTCTCCTTTTATACATTCTTCTCTTCCCCAACCCCCATCACACTTTCCCCAAACCACATATTTTCCCTATATCTTTATGCTTAACCATTTGTAATTTTTTTTTTAAAAAAATCTGTATAATATTTACATTAGCTTCACTGCTTTCAATCCATTCCATATAGGTCTTCCATTTATTTCTAATATCTTCTGTTTTATCCTCCTTTATATCCTGCCGGATAACATATGTTATGATTTCAGATTGGACCTGATCATAAATATGGTTGTTCCAATTTTCCATAGTCCATTGGAAATGAGAAGTGGACTTCCAATTACATCATATTCATGTTTTTACCAGTATGAGCAAGCCAAGGGGAGAATACTGGCCTGAAGAACCAATACAATTGTGTTAAATTCTTCCTTTGCACACATTTGACCCTAAACCCAAAATGCATCAGGCTTCCAACACAGGGAATGTACTCAATATTTTCAAGTTGGGGTTTACTTCTCTGTCATCCTCCCTTTTCCGTACTATTGCATCTTCTCTTTAAAAGGACCCATACCTGACTTGATCTCTAACTTCCATTTCCGACTGGGCATTTACTTTATCAGTAGGTTCGTCCGAATGTTTGAATGATGGTGAGAAAGAAGGAATGGAAACTTGAAAAACACTAGTGTGGATCTGTAGTGAATCCTACATGGAAAAAAAGACATCAAGAAACACATTTATTGGATGGACACTGAAGCACAATGCACTCAAGCTTGATAGTCTGAAGCCTTATATTACTCATATGATTTATAAGATTAAAATATCTGTTCCATAATTTAGAAGATGGTTACGCATCTTTTTAATAAATACATTTTCTCAACCAGCTAGGGGTTGCAGTCCTCATCTAAACTGATCCATGTGCCCAGAAGCAGACCTTGTTATTGTTCAAAGTTATTCACTGACAGTAAGATACACGGTCAACTCTCCACATGTATGGATTTGACTTTTGTGGATTTAATTATTCATGGATTTTATTAATATGATCTCTCTAGGGAATCTTTAGATCCTCCAGTGCAACTACTGTATTCTAATTCTGACCTTTTTTGACTAAATTATCTTCCCAAAATTAGAGTGCACTTTAGACTCGCACAACATGGTAAATACGTTTTTCGGTTTCGGAATTTTGAAAATTGAGGGGCACATTAGATTAGATTAGATGGCACATTAGACTCAAGTAAAAACAGGTATATGCTTAACTTCTGCTGGATGCTGACCCTAAAATTCCACTGGAGGACGTAGTGATCCCTGGAAAGAACACCTCTCTAGGTTCCCCAGCACAACTCTGTGGACAACTTCCAGAAAACACTGATCATAGAATTGCACTGGAAGAGATTCCTAGAAAGATAGTAGTTTCTAATTCACATTTTTCTACTTTTGTAGGTGATCTTTGCCCTTAATGTCAGTGAATGTGGAGGGCAGATTGTATGTAGCACTCCTGCTTTATTACTCTTCCACTTTTTTTTTCATTTAGGAGTGACTTGAGAAACTGCAAGATGCTTCTGGTGTCAGAGAATTGGCTGTCTGCAAGGACGTTGCCCAGGGGACGCCCAGATGTTTTGATGTTTTATCATCCTTGTGGGAAGCTTCATTCATGTCCCTGAATGGGGAGACAGAGCTGACAGAGACTGCTCATCCGTGCTCTCCCCAGATTCGAACCTGCAACCTGTCAGTCTTCAGTCCTGCCGGCACAAAGATTTAACCCATTGCACCATCAGGGGCTCCACTCTTCCACTAAAAAAATAACAACACAAAAAAAATTGTGTTGTTACGTGTCTCCAAATCAGCTCTGACTTATTGAGATCTATAAATGCGGAGACCTGATCGCCAACAGTCCTGCTTATTCTCACAAACTATGGCTTACTTTATCATCAAGTCATGTGTAATGTGCTCATCTTTTCCTGCCGCCTTCCACATTTATTTATTTATTTAAGATATTTCTACCCCGCCTTTCTCGAACCCGAAGGTGACTCAAGGCGGCTTTACAACATAGACAGCTATTCGATGCCTTTAAAACAATGTAAAAATTACAATAAACATTTAAAACAGAATGATAAAATACATACATTGAAACCTTTAAAAACATATAAAATCACTACCTTCACTATTAGCCTCACAGTCCAATCTAAGCTATTCCAGTATTCGATTTCACATAGTTCCATGTTTATCTATTGCACTAGGTCCCCAAAAGCGTGTTCAAAAAGCCATGTTTTCACTTTTCTGTGGAAGGTCAGGAAAAAAGGGGCTGATCTAATATCCCTTGGGAAGGAGTTCCACAGCCGAGGGGCCACCACTGAGAAGGCCATGTCTCTCATCCCCGCCAGTCACACCTGCGAAGAAGGTGGGACAGAGGGTAAGGCCTCCCCAGATTATCTTAAACTCTGAGATGGTTCATAGATGGTTCATCATACATCCGGACAGGTAAGCTGGGCTGGAACCGTTTAGGGCTTTATAGGCTAAAGCCAGTACTTTGAATTGTACTTGGCAGCAAACTGGCAGCCAGTGGAGCTGGCATAACAAGGGACTTGTAAGCTCATTGAACACCACTTTGGTGAGCAATCTGGCTGCTCCTGTTGGACCATTTGAAGCTTCCGAACAGTCTTCAAAGGCAACCCCAAATAGAGTGTGTTACAGTAGTCTATACTAAATGTAACCAGAGTGTAACCGTCAGACTTCCCAAAGTACAGCACAGCTGGCGCACAAGTTTTAATTGTGTGAATGCACCCCTGGCCACCACTGAGACCTTGGGTTCCAGGCTCAGCTATGAGTCCAGGAGAATTCCCAAGATGCGAACCTGGGTCTTCAGGGGGAGTGTAACCCCATGCAGCACAAGTTGTAACCCTATGCCCTGTTCGGCTTTGAGACTGACCAGGAGTACCTCTGTCTTGTCTGGATTCAATTTCAATTTGTTCCCCCTCATCCAGACCATTACAGCTGCCAAGCACCGGTTCAAAACCTTAGTAGCAGGTGGAAAGGAATGATAGAGTTGAACATCATCTGCGTGCAGATGACATTGAACTCCAAAACTCCAGATGATCTCACCCAACGTTTCCCAGCATTATCAGGATTTAACAACCAGGAAAAGTAACTGGAGTCAGGCGGTTTCCCACTCCCACTTTAATTTTCTGTTGAGATTTCCTGGTTGTTAAACAGACTATGGTTTCCAGATTGTGGGGAATGGGAAGAAGAGTAGAACCAGAGCACAAAAGGGTAGAGGTGGAAGAGAAGGGTTGGGCAGAAAACCAACTCTTGGGTTACTATTAACCAGTGCTCGAAGATTCATTGGTACTAAATCTATCTATCTATCTCAATCAACAACGTTTCATTGAAGTATTTCAGCTCAAACACGTCATTTGTGAAAATAATACTAAGTTTAATATACATTTATACCTCTTACAAGGGAGAAAGTATTTCTTCCAAACAGCCGGGTTACAAGTGAAGTTTATAAGGAACCATATGAGGAGGTGGAAGGGAACAGAGAAATACTACCTCTTCAGGAGTTTTTGCTCTAAACTCTTCATGGTTTGGCGAGCCTGTAGGAGATGGACTCTTCTCAGGTTCACTTAGATTCTGTGCATCATCTGACAAGGCTACTGAAATGGATCCTGAATTTGCCAAGTCCTCACATTCATCATTCTTGCCTGTCAGCACAGAAAGGTAATACTGTTGACTAACGGCATTCTTTATGCATATTGTGGACTTCCTATTTATGGAGGCAAGTAGGTTTATTTATTTTCTATAATTTTAAACGATTCTTTGTTGTCTAAATGATCATGCTTTTTCAAGTTATTTGAGAAAACTACTCAGCACATAACAATATTTGACAGCTGAATTCAAGAATGACAGTTTCTGATTTCTCCATTTGAAAATACACACTCTCAATGGCTCCATTTTAATACACAATGGCTGTTATCTAGAGCAGGACTTGTAAAATCTTTTTCACTTGTGGCCCCTTTCTGCCCAAGCTATTTTTATGTAACCCCAGGTATTCAGGTATAAAAAACAGATATAAAAATCAAATATTTCCTGATAATAAATCAGCATTGGAAAGGCTTCTTAAACAGGCTGATCTTCTTTTTGTAGAGTACAGTTGAAGTATCATCTGCAAAGTTAACTGTAAACACTACACTACAAGATTTGATTAATGTCTAGGTGGCATTCAAAAATCATTTACTGTTGTTAACTTTTTTGTGACCCCCAACATTGAGCTAAGCGGAATCTCATTTGGAAGCAGTGAACGAGGGAACCCAATCCTCTATATCAGAAGTATGTCTCACTGAATGTAATGGATCATATTCTTAGGAAAATAGATACAGAATTGCAGTCTAGAGATAAACGGGAAAAACAAGTTTGCTGTGACACGTCAGGAACCATATGATGCATTACTGTTGTCAGGAGAGACCACCATGGTCCCAGGTCATCAAATGCCTTGCTCAGGCATTGCAAACTCAGAGTTGTGGATTCCTTGATCCAAGTTATTTAACCCACAATATTCCTGGGTTGTTGTAGGTTTTTTCGGGCTATATGGCCATGTTCTAGAGCAGTGGTTCTCAACCTTTCTAATGCCGTGACCCCTAAATAAAGTTCCTCATGTTGTGATGACCCCCAACCATATTTTCGTTGCTATTTTATAAATAATTTTGTTACTCTTATGGATTCTAATGCAAATATCTAATATGCAGGATGTATTTTGATTGTTACAAATTGAACATAATTAAAGCATAGGGCCTTCTCGGTGATGGCTCCCGGCTGTGGAACGCCCTTTCCACGGACATTAGATTAGCACCATCTCTGGTTGTATTCCGCAAAAAAGTAAAGACCTGGTTTTTTGTGCAGGCGTTCGAGTAGTTAGTGCTATGATTGGTAATGATATAGGAATGGAACAATGGATGACGGATCTGGATTGTGTTTTTAGTGATGAGACGTTAGTGAATGATTATAGTAATTGTGTACTAACTGTGTATTAGATATGTTGTTAACTGTTTTTTATATTGGTGCATTGAATTTTGCTGTTTCCTATGTGCTGTGAACCGCTGTGAGTCGCCTTCGGGCTGAGAACAGCGGTATAGAAGTAAAGTAAATAAATTAATAAAAAATAAATAGTGATTAATCCACCAAAGATGGTATTGGACTTACCACATATACTCGTGTATAAACTGACATGAATATAAGCCGAGGCACCTAATTTTACCACAAAAAACTGGGAAAACTTATTGACTCGAGTATAAGCCGAGGGTGGGAAATGCAGCAGCTACTGGTAAATTTCAAAATAAAAATAGATACCAATAAAACTACATAATTGAGACATCTGTAGGTTAAATGTTTTCGAATATTTACATAAAACTGTAATTTAAGATAATTTAAGTCCAACTCTGATTAAACCATTATTCTAGCCTTCTTCAATTTAAATGTGCTTATGCATTCTCCTAATAACAGAGTATAATAATAAATGCAATAGCAATGATAATAAATAGAATAAATTAATAAATGTAATAATAGCAATAATACGTAAAAGGTAAAGGTAGTCCCCTGACATTAAGTCCAGTCATGTCTGACTCTGGGGTGTGGTGCTCATCTCCATTTCTAAGCCGAAGAGCCAGCGTTGTCCGTAGACACCTCCAAGGTCATGTGGCTGGCATGACTGCATGGAGCGCCGTTACCTTCCCGCCGGAGCGGTACCTATTGATCTACTCACATTTGCATGTTTTCGAACTGCTAGGTTGGCAGAAGCTAGGGCTGACAGCGGAAGCTCACGCCGCTCCCCGGAATCGAACCTGCGACCTTTCAATCAACAAGCTCAGCAGCTCAGTGCTTTAACCCACTGCGCCACCGGGGGCTCCACAATAATACGTAGAGTAAAATAATAAATGTAATAACAATAATACATGGTGTAAAATAATAAATGTAACAACAACAACAATCCAATAATCACCATGGTATACATTTTGGGGGAAATGCTGTGTGTGTGTATGAATAAGGAAAAGGGAGAAACACTTGTGAAGGGGGTGGGAAAGAAGGACTGGAAATGGGAAAACATTGGGGCTGGGTGGTTGAAAAAGTGGGAAAACTAAGTGGAAAAGGGGTAACTGAAAAAGTAGGACAGATTGGGGTGGGAAGGGGGAATGACTCAGGTATGAAAGGGGGGCTGGAAACTGGGAAAGGTTGGGATGGAAAGGGGGGCTGGAAAAGTGGGAAATACTCCAGTCTAGTGTGTGTGTGTGTGGGGGGGGGGGATTGGGAAAAGCTGGGGAAATTGGGGTGGTAAAGAGGAGCAGCTGGAAAAGATTGGAATGGGGAAAGTAAGACTGCAAAATGAGCAAGATGGGGGTTCAAAGGGGAGCCTGGAATGGTGGAAATTTTGAAGTGGCAAGGGGGCAAGTGGGAAAGATTGAGGTGGGGAAGGGGGCTAGAAAAATGGGAAAGACTGGGGTAGGAAGGGGGTGTTGGAAAAGAGGGGGGGGGGAAACTGAGGTGGGAAGGAAGTAGGAAGGACTGGGGAGAGGAAGGTGCGCGCGAGCAATCCAAAAGGCAACCAAGCCAGGCACCTTTTGCCCCCCTCCAACCTCTCGCCGTGGCTCCTTTTCTCTCTCCCTCTTTCTTAACCCGGTCAAAAGGAGTGGGGGGGGGATGCCTAGGAGGAAGAAGGAGCAGCCCAAGCACCTTTCTTCTTCTTCTTCTTCACTGAGTGCCCTCCTTTGCCTCTCTCTCAACCCTCCTAGATTCCCCCTTTATTATTATCTCCGTCTTTCCACCTCCAAACCCAGTCTTTCTTCGCTGCCTGCCTGCCTTCCCTCCTTCCTCCCTTCATTTTGTGCCATTTAGTTTTAGGGTTTCAGAGGTGAAACTGAGAAAGATATGCAAGGCATGGGTTTGCAGTCCTCTTTTTAAGGTCGGAGTTGAGGCAGAATGTTGGTGATAAACAGCCTTGTGTCCTTTTAACCCCCCCCCCCCCCGCTGCTTCCTCCTCCTCCTGTGTGTATGTGTGTGTGTTTGCGTTGAGAGAGAAAAAGCGAGGTAGTGTGTGTCTCCCTCTCTCCCTGCCTTTGGGTTCCCCTCTTACCCCTCCCCTTCCTGGAGAAGAGAAAGGGGGATAGATAGATACACAAGGGAAGAGGAGGCTCTCCTTTTATATATGTGTGTGTATGTAAATATATGTATATGTGTATGTATGTGTATGTGTGTATACACATATACACACAAATATATATAAAAAATGAGAGCCTCCTCTTCCCTTGTGTATCTATCTATCCCCCTTTATATATCTATAGGGGTTTTGCTGTGTCTTTGCACAGAGAGATCTGCCTCTGGCTAAAACGCTGTGGCTCTGGGCTAGCGAGAAAGAGGAGGAGAAGGAGGGTGAAGCAAGAGTTTAGGCAAAGCTCAGGGGCGACGGCAAGGAGATGGTGCGAGAGAAACCCACAGAGAGAGAGAAAGGCAGGGAGGTGGAGGTCCCAGCAGAGCAGAGCAAAGAGGCAACGGCAGCGCTCAGGGTTACTGCTGCCGCAGCTGCTTCCTCTCGCTTGGAGAGGCAGCAGAGGGAGTCAAATGGCGAGGCCGAGGCAGCTGTCCCGAGGCTAAGCGCATGTGCACACAAAAGCAACACAGGGACAGCCTCAGCCCCTGTTTCCACACCTCCTGGGCTTTCTGCTCACTTTTGGAGCAGGGCTCCTTGAAGGATCGAAGTGAAGTTCACCAGGGAGGGGGGAGGAGGCTGAGGGAATAGCGCGCAGGACAGGAGGAGGGGAAGGCACGTGGCTGCTGTGCGGAGACAAAAAGAGAGCCATGGCGGGAAAGCTTGGCGTTGAAAGAAAGGCCTTCTTTCAGCCCCATGTCTTCCCGCCAGGACCCTCTCCCGACTATAAGCGGAGAGTGGCTTTTTCAGCCTTAGAAATGGGCTGAAAAACTCAGTTTATTTTCCAATCTATATGGCAACTTGGCACACAGAATCCCCATGGCAAGCAAAAAATACTGGAGTTCGTGAGGGGAAATTTACCTTGATTTGAAGGAGCTAGGCCCTGCGCGGAGCCCTCTGTCCATCCCTCACCCCCTACTGAGCTTGAAAGGAGGCAAAGGCCAGGCGGTGAAGGCTCCACGGATGGCCAGAACAGAGAGTCTTCTTCCCCAGTGCCTTTATCTCAATAGCACCTCCTCCTGACTACCCACAGAGTGCCATTTGGCTGGCTTGGGGGGGGGGGCGGCAGCCATTTTGAAGGGGGCGGGGCCAGCCAAGGCGACCTGGCGACCCCCCGAAAATGGCCAAACGACCCCCCGGGGGGTCCCGACCCCCAGGTTGAGAACCGCTGTTCTAGAGGCATTCTCTCACAATATTCCTGATTACACAAATCTAAACTATTTTAGCCTGAAACAGGAAAATATTTCCTTAATGTGTAGACCTCAATCCTGGAGCAGATTAATGAAATGAATGGGATTTAAGTGTCATTGACCTATCACTTAAAACTCTAGTTCACTGGTTCTCAACTTTTTTTTGACCAGGGACCACTCTCCAACATTAGTACCAAAAGCATTACGAATCAGTTTTTGGACAACTTTAGATTCGGTTTGGTTATTTGGGGTGCTGATTCAGAAAATTGCATTGGATAGACCACATAAACTCTAGTTTCTGATACAGATTTTTGCCTTGATATTCTGGGTTATATGGCTGTGTGGAAGGGTCCTCAGATAACCCATTTCAAGGCAGATATTGTGGGATTTTCTGCCTTGATATTCTGGGTTATATGGCTATGGCCCTTTTCACATAGGTGAATAAAATCCCAGATTATTTGCTTTGAACTGGATTATATGGCAGTGTGGACTCAGATAACCCAGGGCCCTTCCACACAGCCTCATGTCCCAGATTATCAAGGCAGGAAATCCCACATTATCTGAGTGTGGACTCAGATAACCCATTTAAAAGCAGATATTCTGGGGTATAGGGCTGTGTGAAGGGGCCCTCAGATAACCCAGTTCAAAGCAGATATTGTAGGGTTTTCTGCCTTGATATTCTGGGTTATATGGCTGTGTAAAAGGCACCTCAGTTCAAAGCAGATATTGTAGGATTTTTTGCCTTGATAATCTGGGGGGCATTCCACACAACCCTATTTCCCAGAATATCAAGGAAGAAAATCCCACATTATCTGAGTGTGGACTCAGATAACTCAGTTCAAAGCAGATATTGTGGGATTTTCTGCCTTGATATTCTGAGATATAGGACTGTGTGGAAGGTCCCTAAATTATATAGCTGTGTGGAAGGGCCCTCATATAATCGATTTCAAAGCATATATTGTGGGATGTTTTGCCTTGATATTCTGGGTCGTCTAGCTGTGTGGAAGGGTCCTCAGATAACTCCGGGCCCTTCCACACAGCCATATAACCCAGAATATCAAGGCAGAAGACCCCACAGTATCTACTTTGAACTGGGTTATCTGAAGCCTCTTCCACACAGCTGAATAAAATATCACATTTTCTGCTTTGAACTGGAATATATGGCAGTGTGGTCTCAGTTAATTCAGGGCCCTTCCACACAGTCCTATATCCCAGAATATTGAGGCAGAAAATCCCACATTATCTGAGATAACCTAGTTCAAAGCAGATATTGTGGGATGTTTTGCCTTGATATTCTGGGTTGTGTGGATGGCCATCAGATAATTCAGGATCCTTCCACACAGCCTTATATTCCAGAATATCAAGGTAAAAAATCCCACATTTTCTGCTGTGTATATGGCAGTGTGGACTCAGATAACCCAGTTCAAAGCAGATATTGTGTGATTTTCTGCCTTGATATTCTGGGATATAGAGCTGTGTGGAAGGGCCCTGGGTTATCTGAGTCCACACTTCCATATATTCCAGTTCAAAGCAGAAAATGTGGGATGTTATTCAGCTGTGTAGAAAAGGCCTCAGATAACCCAGGGCCCTTCCATTATCTGCCTTGACCAGGAATATATGGCAGTGTGGACTGAGATAACCTAGTTCAAAGCAGATATTTCAGGGTGCTTCCACACAACCCTATATCCCAGAATACCAAAGCAGAACTGGGTTATCTGAGTCCACACTCAGATAATGTGGGATTTTCTGCCTTGATATTGAGGGATATAGGGCAGACAACCCAGTTCAAAGCAGATCATGCTGGATTTTATTCAGCTGTGTGGAAGGGGCTTGAGGGCCCTTCCACACTGCTATAAAACCCAGAATATAATGGGAAATAATCCACAATATCTGCTTTGAACTGAAATATATGGCAGTGTGGACTCAGATTCCTGAGGAAGAATTCTGATGCAAGGTGCAACACTAAAGGGAGATGTTGTTTGTCATCTTTGGCATTGGCAGTCCAATCACAAATAATTCCCTCCCCAAAAAATAAAATACAGAAGGCCTCCCTGCTTCCTCTCAAGAAAGATACAAAAAGGTGAGGCGGGGAGGCAAAGACGGCCTTCCCAAGCGACTCTGGGGCAGGCATTTACTTGCTTGCTTCCCTCGAGTGGACAGCAAGGCCGAAACTGCTAGGCCTCAAAGCTATTACGAGACAGAGAAACCCACAGGAGGAGGAAGAGGCAAAGAAGAGGGGGGATTTTCAGGCAGCCTTTTAAGGTTGGCTTGGCCCAAATCCTGAGAGGAAAGGCCCACGAAGAAGCCCCGCCCTGCCTCCACTCTGTGGGGCTTTCTCTCAAGTTCCACCTCAAGGCCCCTCCTCCTCCTTCTCCTTTTGCCAAGTTAATTCTCAAACCAGGGGAAAGATGTCCTGCTTCCCTCTTGGCACCTCTCAAAAAGAACGGATGGCGAGGGCTCCCTTACTCCCAGCCTCCTTCGCAATTCCTCCCTTTCTTCTTCCCTTGCAGCTGCCCTCATCCCTGCCTGCCTCTCTCCCTGCCTCAGTTGCGGCTGCTCTTGTAAGCCTCTCGGTGGGGACACAGCACTACCTCCTGGCAGGCTGGAGAACAACAGTCGGCTGGGAAACAGAGTGAGGGAAGGCGGAAATAAATTAAATTAAATTAATAAAGAGGAAGGAGGTTTGCTGCCCAGATTTTCATTCTGGCACCCACTGCTGGTCCGCAGCCCACAGGTTGAGAACCACTACTCTAGTTTATTTAAATACAAATGACATTCAGAAAGAAATATGTCAGATCTATAGAACACTATACCCAAAGTTAAGCAAAACAGCTAGAGTCAAGCAGACTTTCAGATTCTCTGTGTCTAAATGGAAGAGTGAACTGAATATATCTTTAGCCTTCTGAATGAAAGAAACGGACTCTCCAACTGCTTGGCTTCTCTGCAACATGTTTTCTGGGTTCTCAAACAAAAATGTCAATTGCAAAGTATGAATCAAACTTAATAACCCATAGCATGGTCCATTTCATAAGGTGCAAATTTGGAGCACAAGACTCCCTGATTACAAGACGTACTTTTCTTGTCAAAAATCTCTGATCTCCCACTTGTACATGTAAACAAATTTAAAGGTAAAGCAGTGTTGGATGGCTAGCAAAGTCAACAATGTTAACTTAATGCTGTACCTTTCTTGACCTGAGCCAGTATCACCATATCTTGCACTTTCTTATACCGATTAAGAGACTGTCGAAGTTCTTCTATCTTCTGATCCTAAAAAAGATGTATTTTATATACTCAACATTTAATATTTCCTTCCTGTGGGCAATGAAAGCCGCAATCATATAACTAATATCTGATAGCAATCAAGCAATGTATTTTTAAGTCTAACATGAAACTGAAATTTAAGACAACTCGGATGTCAAAAACTGAGTTCTTAACATACTTGTTGTTCTATTAGAATCAGCTCTTACTTTTTACCTTTCCATTTCTGACTGCAGAACGGGCCACTCCATTTTTTAAAATATTTTTATTATTTTATCATAATTCAATACATTTGTTATACAATGTTTGTTTTACAGCAGAAACATACAACCTACCATACTTTAACTTTTGGCATCTACTATTATTTTCCTGCTTATACATATTATCTATCCCTCACCACTGTGCTCCCCTCACCCCCTCCCAAGCCACAGCTTTTACATATCATCTGTCCAAATTTCAATTCTTTTTGTGGAGGTAACTTTCCTTTTTTCTTTTAAAATCTTTTTTCAATAAATTTTCTCCATACATCATCGAAATCACTTTGTTTCCATATACATCTTTTAACTTGTAATATACATGTCAGTTTATCATTTATTGCCAATTTCCATACTTCTTTGTACCACTCCTCTATTTGTATATTTATTTATCTTTGTTATCACATCTTTATCCTCTTTTTTCAATTGTTTATTCTAATATAATGACAATAAAGCTTTATTTACTTTACTACCACATATGTAATATATGTTCCTGATTCTTGGCATCCTCTCCAGCAATTTTTTGAATTTTTTAAATTTATATTTGCTATTTTTACTGGTGTTAGGTACCATTTCCATATTAACTTATAGTAGTTTTCTTTAACCTGTATTGATAATTTTTTTAAATGTCTTTGTCTCAATAATTGTTGCCACTCCGTTTCATTTATTTTTATCTCTAAAACTTCTTCCCAGACCTCCTTGAGGGTGTTATTTTTTGTTTTCCTTGCTTTATTTCAATTATCTTACATACCTTACTAGTCATTCATTTCATGCTCCTCTATATCCCTTCCATTTTGTATTATTTGTTCAAATTGATAAAGCTTACTTCCATTTTTATTATTTTTACCCACTTTTTAAACCATTGTTCTAATTGTAAATAATGGAACCATGTCAATTTTATTTTTCTAAATTCTTCCCTAATCATTTCCTTCTTTATCCCAACCTTCATCCAATCCCCTATTTTGTCTAAGTTTTTCCCCTTAACTTTTTATCCATTACTTTAAAAAAAATTGAAATTTCCATTATAATTGGGGTTATTATTGAACCATCCGCTATTAACATTCTACTATATTTATACCATACTTCTAATATATTGCTCAACATTAGGTTTTTAATTTCCCTAATTTTTTTTCTCGTAAATTCTTTCAAAAAAACATTCCAGATTTCTTCCTCCACTTCTTCTGAATCCTTTCTTAGCCATTCTACCCCCCCCCCCCTTTATCATTCCTTCTATAACCAATCTCAGTCTGTTTGCTTCATTATATTTTTTAATATTAGGAAGTGCTAATCCTCCCTCTTTTTGCGATCTGTACCATAACTATACTGTTGGTTAATCTATTTCTATTACTACCATTACAATATTTATTTATCATTTGTTGCCATCTATTTAGCTCTTCTGTAACCTGAAGTGGCAGCATTCTAAATATAAAATTTATCTTCGGAAGTATTTTCATTTTTACTAATGCTACCTTTCCAAACCAAGATAAATTTTTTTGAACTACTTTTCTCAATGCTACTACATTTATCTCCTCTTCCATTTTTAAGTCCTTTGTTATTATTACTCCCAGATATTTTAATTTATTCTTAATTCGAATCCCCATTTTACTCTGTTCTATAAAGTATTTTTCTTCTTTGTATAATTAAATAACATAATTTCTGATTTATTCCAATTAACTTGTAAACCCGTTGTTTTCCAAATATCTCTAAATGATCCTTAATTCTATCCATTTTACCTACTATATTTTCAATAAATAGCAATGTATCATTGGCAAATAAGCTCACCTTCTGCTTCTCCTTTATTTCTACCCCTTCTAAGTTCTTATCTTTCCTAATGGCATTTGTAAATAATTCTATCACCATGGCAAACAAAATTGGTGATAGAGGGCATCCTTGTCTTGTTCCCCTCATCACTTTTATTTCTTTTGTCACCCCATCATTTATCGTTGCTACCGCTGAATTTCTTGAATAGTATTGTTCTAGTAATCCTTTTATTCTGCTTCCCATTCCAAATTTGTTCATGATCTCCCTTAATGTCCACCATTCCATACAATCAAAAGCTTTAAATATATCTAATGACTATCCCTATTTTAACCTTTTTCTCTTAAACCACACAAATTTTATTTAATACCCTCCCTATCAAATTTGACATTTGTCTTCCTTTTACAAACCCATACTGATCTTTTTTATATACTTGTGCATACATTTATTCATTCTATTGGCTATTATAGCAGATAAAATATTTGCATCCTGATTAACTAATGATATGGGCCTATATGACCCTGGGTCTGTTAAATCTTTTTCAGGTTTTGGTATTAATATTATTAATGACTTCCTCCATGATTCTGGTATCTTCTCGCCTCTCATTGTTCCATTATACAGTTCTAATAGTTTTGAAATCAGTACTTCTCTAAAATTTTTATAATATTCTGTTCCCAAACCATCCAGATCTGGAGCTTTCCCAGCTTTTAAATTCTTAATGACTTCCTCAGTAATGGCGAATTCTCATTTACTTTCGTTTTCTCCCTCCATCGGCATTCATAAATCTTAAGTTTATCATAAGCTTATCTTACCCCTTTGAAGATTTGTTTCTTGCTCATTAGGTCCTCCACCACTTCCCCATTCTTTCCAATCCAAGAAAGATGTATCCAGTTTTCTTTATCAGTTTATTTTCACTGCTTATTTCTATTTTGCTCTCGAGATGGCACAGGATGCCTCTTTACCCAGCCATGGATGACTCTGCCCCCCTGGGACACTCCATTTAAACAAGAAAATGAAAAACCATTTGTGCCTTCCCATAATGATTGCTTCAATCAAAAGACATGCCTTTTCCTTTAAAGCAGTGTAGACTTAAAGTGGGCCCTTGGTATACGCTGGGGTTTGGTTCCTGGATCCTCCATGAATACCATAATCCATGGGTGTTTAAGTCCTATACTTATATAAAATGGCAAAATCAAGGTCTGCTTTTTGGGTTGTTTTTTTTTAAATAATACTCCCAAGCCCTGAATAGTTGAGTCCATGGATGCAGCATCTGTGGATATGGAGAGCCAACTGTACAATTATCTAAAGTAAATATAAATGACATGCTTAGTACCTTTTCTTCATTTGCTGCCATTAGAGATTCTACTGCCTTCTTCATTTTCTGTACTTCAATATCTAGGACATTTTAAAATGTGCATAAATTAGCTTAAGTGAAAACAAACAGAAAAAAAACAGCAATATTAATTGGCAAACTATAAAATGTAACATGTGGCACAAGCATAACAAAGAACACTTATTTGTGTTTAAAGAAAAGGAAAACAAATCAAACACATTTACTCTGGGGTGCAGAGTTTGAAATGCTACTTTTTAATTACAACTACTAGAAATGCAGTAACATTTTATATTTTTGGCTATCCTGGCTGAAACTTATAGAATTTATAGTTCAATAAAAGTGATGTTTTCAAGCTTTTCTCTGGAGCATTAACCATGACTTATGTTGACAATATCTCACACATATTAAGTGATAATTATCACACATTAAAAACATGTAACAAACATCACAACAAAATCATGCTAAAGGAAGTCAATATTTTCATCCCCATACTATAAGTGCTCTCACTTATAAGGGCTGAGACAAGAGTTTGCCTACACCTCTTAGCAACTTATTCATTGACAAGAAATCTGAGCCAATGACTTTATGATGATCATCTGAATCTTTTACCCACTTTTTATTTCTTTTAAAACATTTATACTGTTTGTCTTATATCAGAGAAGTTAAAGATGACTGAGAAATTAATATAATAATATTTATTTACTTGATCAGTCATATGACCATTTCAAAATAGAACACGAGTAAAAAACAAGGCAACAAGGTGACTGAGAACTTAGAAATTAAAACAATTTCTCAATGCAACACTACCATAACTATTCTGCCAGAGCTCTGTAAAAATACAATGCAATGCTTTGACTTTTCTTTCTTTTTGTAATTACTGTAGGCTATAACCTGGCACTCAGAAATTAAACCAAATGCCTCATCAGTATCCTATACAGCAGCTCTTTGTTATTCCAGCAGACTCAAACAAATTGAGCTGGAAAGAGAATTCAGTAAATGGTGGTAATAAATGATTTTAAAATGGAATAGTGATTCTTAGCCATAACCAAGAATGGTGTAGAAATGAGAGGTTGATGATGTGATGTTGTGCATACATGTGTGATGAAAACTCATGCTAAAATGTGAAAATGTAGCACAAATAAGAAAAAGAGCTTGAGAGTTGCCATATGTACAAAGTGTGCTTCATCCTTTCTCCTCATTTACAGGGAAAATCCATGCCACTTAAATAATGAAGTGTTAGGAATATAACAAATCCATGATTAAAATTAAGCAACGTTTTCATTTCCTACTAAAGAACAATGCAGCCAAAACAATAAAACTAAGGATTTTCTAGATGTGAGCTATAATTCATTCACAATGTATTTGGCATCTCTCTCCAACACATATCTGCCAGTTGAAGTTTATATGCGATTTCATTCCAGGGCCAGAATGCAGCAGCTTCATGCAGATGCGATACCAAACCATGGTCTGATGCTACTGCTTGTCCTCTGTTTTCCTTCTGCCATCTCATGTGCTCCAATTTCTTTCCTCGTTGCTAATTTAGCAACAAGTCATAGGCAAAATACCCAAATACCAAGACTGCAAACCATGGTATATAATACTGGCTTGTGGGCAAATTGTAGCATAAGCAAAGCATACATTTCCTGGATAAGATGAACACATGTAAAAGTCAACCTCATGTATTCGTCGAGGACAGATCCTTAGGACAAAATTATGGATTTTGATATGACCTATAGATAAGTCGAGAATCATATCATAGAGAGGGGAAAGCACCAATGACGATCCAAGGGGCCAACTACCCCTAGCTACTGCAGCCCTTTCCATGTCTAGGCATTCAAAAAGGTCAGAAGCAGTGCCATGACAGTAAGCAGAGACGGCTGGTTTCTTTTAGGTCGGCTCAGCTCTTGCATTTCACTATTCTACTCAGAGACGAGATTAATGTTGTACATAGGCAGGAAAAAACATGAAAAATGGGGGGGGGGGAGGAAAAGAGAAGAAAAGCTCTGAGTGAAGGGTTGCTCCTACCAGAGCACCCTCTGTGTTAGCTGGATTGACCGTTGTCAGCCCCACACCACGATGAGGCCACGGATAGGATTTGTGATGTGCAGAACAGTTGGGTGCTGGAGCAATGCCACGTCAACATGGTATGCACAGGGATGGACGAGACCTCTTGGACAGTTCTCACAGTTAGGAAGTCCTTCCTAATGTTCAGGTAGAATCTCCTTTCCTGTAGTTTGAAGCCATTGTTCTGAGTCCTAGTCTCCAAGGCAGCAGAAAACAAGCTTGCTCCCTCCTCCACATGACTTCCCCTCACATATTTATCCATGGATATCATGTCTCCTCTCAGCCTTCACTTTATCAAGCTAAACATGCCCAGCTCTTTAAGCCGCTCCTCATAGAGCTTGTTCTTCAGGCCCTTGATCATTTTAGTCACCGTCCCTTGGACATGTACAGTATGAATGAGGACACAACATATTTCATGGAAACCTTCTATTTATATCCTATCTATCCTAGCCAATTTGTTGTTGATGCACTCCTTTAGGCTTCACACAAATCTATCATGTACTATCCTGTGCTTTTCTTTTCAATTTCTGGCCAAACAGCTCAATCATTGCTTTGTCCCATCAAATTGGTTTGTCCCATTCATATTCATACATCTATCTATATAATTATCTATGTCTATATCTATATGATTTATTGCTATTTCACATAGACAAAAAGGTTTCTCCTTACATTCATACAACACGCCTACACATTGAAGCTGACACATGAATGTTTGGAAGGTTCTGCACTAGATCATGAAAAAGATGGTGGAGACTTATATGTGCTAACTCCAAAGAGCAATGTGAGGTTAACATGGTTAGCAAGAATACTCCTCTTCATCAAGAGTGCATACATGATTTGCACAGGGCATTAGGACAGGAGGCAAGTGTTTTTAAAGCAGTGGTTCTCAACCTGGGGTCCCCAGTTGTTTTTGGCCTACAACTCCCAGAAATCCCAGCTAGTTTACCAGCTGTTAGGATTTCTGGGAGTTGTAGGCCAAAAACATCTGGGGACCCCAGGTTGAGAACCACTGTTTTAAAGTCTCTTCCTTACATGATGTACTCACATTTGCATGTTTTTGAACTGCTAGGTTTGCAGAAGATCCATCTTATAGACAACTACTTTTATGTATGTTTATTAAAATAAACATATGGGAATTTTAGACAGATTTCAATTTAATTTAATTTAATTACCCATCATGTAGAAAAATTAAATTGAAATCTGTCTCAAATTCCCATATAAAGTGCTAGACTTAGGCTAAGGTTCAATTAAAAGAAGTTTCAAACATAAAGGTCTTCACTCCTTTTTTAAATGACATAAAAGATGCTTGAGACAGCCTACAATAATAAATCACAAGTATGGCTTGGTGTTACAACTGTGACTACCCACAAAATGTTTCTGGGTCTAACAGATTTTTCTTCGTGGACTCTGTGAATGCACACAAGTGGAGTAGTGTCTGTGCTTGTGCAGCCCCCAACAAAAACTTCCCAAGTTTAAAGCTACAAATTCTGGCAGTAACCCCAGCCAGTCCCCTTGCAGGGCATAAAAGGCACGCTCCGCAGTTCCTCTTTTTCCGATACAAAGCTTGCATCAGAACTTCCTCGCTATGTCGACTGCGCGGTTCAAACACTGCTCTCAGTGTTCTAAGAAGATTCCTGACTCTGATAAGCACTCGAAGTGCCTTCTTTGTCTTGGCGAAGCTCACATTACTACTTCCTGCCACCATTGCCAGTAGTTGACGGCTCAAACTAGGAAGAATAGGGCTGCTCGCCTTCGGTATCTTCTCTACCAACGAACTTTGGCTCCTTCGACTTCGGTGGGACCTTCATTATTTGAGCCCTCGACCTTGGCGGCAGCAAAACCGCCAGCAAAGCCTCGGTCAACTACTTCGGGAACGTCAAAATCCTCGAGGCAGACGAGGCAATCGAAGCAGCCGTACACTCTTATGATGGAGATGATGCAACCTCAACAGTCTTCGACCATGAGTTCGGTAGCGTTAGCTTGCTCCATTCGGTCCATGAGTTCGACAGTTGCAACTCCGCCATCTTTTACGGCTGTGAGAATTGCCTTTAAGAGGGTGCATGAGGAATCCCATCAAGCAAAGACAGTGTCTACCTCATCTCTGATCCTGCCTACCCCTGGGAAGTCGCTCTCAGGGCCAGCTTTGGCTCAACCACCAGCGAAGAAAAAAGCTCTTCCCCAGTCCTCTTCTTCGACATCTTTGAAGAAGACCACAACAGCCTCCTCTGCTACCTCGTCTGGCCATTCTTTCTTCTCTGGTTCCTCTGGCTCAACCATTGCACGCTTTGTAACCTTCTCCAGTGGAAGACTATGTCGAGCTGTTCTTCAGGAGCTCCCAGAATCTCCAGTACAGTTGGTAGATACCGTAGTTTAGGCCGCCCAGCGGCTTCACCCTGCTCAGACCTCTGTTAGACAAGAGCTCTTTCCAGCCACTTCCATGCCAGGAAAAGGAAGGCAGACTGCCCATTTGGCTCAAGCAGCTCAGGCCTTGGAATCGAAGCAGCCGCCACCGCCAACTTATCCTCGTCCTCCTACTCCACCTCCACTGATATCCTCCTCTTCACCGTTTCAATCTGGAGATGAGGACCAGGACAAAGATGCTCCAGAGGCTCCAGAATCGGACCACTCAGGTTCAGTCCTGTCACTCGGGCTCGACCGTTCACTGACACACAAAGCCTATGACGTCAACCCTCCCTTGCAGACACATAATGTTCGGGCGTTTGCAGACCAGATGGTTTGCATGGCAGACACCCTGGGACTTGAAATCAAACAGACGTCGAAGGCAGTTACCAACCCGGTGTTCAAAAGCCCTTCTTCTTCCATTTCTTCCTTATTTGCTCAATGTGATTCAAGCATCTTGGAAGACACCATCATTGATACCTCCAACCTCTAAAAGAATCGAGGCCTGGTATCGCACAAATGACGAAGACATAGACTGGCTGAAATACCATGCAGATACAAATTCTGTTGTTGTTAAAGCGGCATAGACTTCAGGCCGGCAATCATCGACCTCGTTTGACTGGGAGGGGAAAAGGTTTGACGCAGTCAGTAGAAAACTGTATTCCATGGCTCTTCTTCTGGCCAGAATGGTGAATTATGGAGCTTGTATGGGAGCATACCAGCAAATCCTCTGGGAGAAGGCTCAACCTTTCTTTGCAAGACTTTCAGAAGAGGACCAAACGGTTCTCACCTCTTTTTCGCAGGAGGCCAACTCTCTGGTGCATCACCAAATCCAGATGGCAAAGCATACTGGTGATACTGCTGGAAAAATGATTGCTCATGCAATCGCCATTAGGCGGCATGCCTGGTTGAGGTCTTCAGACCTTTCAACGTCCTCGAAGCAAGCGATTAAGGACCTTCCTTTCAACGTTTTGGGCCTTTTCAATGCTGGCATGGATGGTAAGTTGAAATCAATTAGGACTTTAAACTTTTGGCTGCCAAGTGCGGGATCATAAACCAATCCCAGGCACAGGGAACCCGCTGGTATCAGCACACTCGCCATAGATATCCAGGCCAGCCATACCATCAGCATCTGTATCAACAAACTCTTCGACCTCTTCCAAGCCCGCAGCCTTAGCAGCAGCAGCACAATTCCCAGCAACCGCAGCATTCCCAATCCTGCCATACATCATTGAACAACCATTCTTGACGCCATGTTTGGCGCTCCCTCGGACGATACTGTCTCCTATTTTGGTACCGATGTCACTGGCATGGGTCCTCTCTTCCTTCTGTCCCTGAAAAATCTGCCTTCAGCACTGTTCAGAGACCACCTGGCACGTTTCATCAATGCGTGGTGACTCATCATCTCAGATGCGTGGGTGCTCAAGGTTGTCGAAAACAGCTATGCATTAGAGTTTGAAGCGCTCCCGCTGATGGGGTTTCTCGTCAATACCAAGCCTTCCCCGCCGATCCTGAAAGAGGTTGAAACCTTGCTCTTAAAAGGAGCAATCCATCCCGTCCCATTGTGCTTAGACAGGCAGGTATACTTCTCCAGGCACTTCACCATACCGAAGCCCGATGGTTCCCTCAGACTGATCTTTGAGCTCTAAATTCCATATCAAATCCCTAAAGTTCAGAATGGTAACGGTACCGTCCATCCTTCCTCTCCTTCGTCCAGGGGACTACTTTGCGTCCATCAACCTTTGAGACATTTACTTCCATCTCTCAATCCAACTGAGCCACAGAAGTTTCCTCTCCTTCCAAGACCTATCATTTCAACGTTCTTCCCTTCGGTCTGGTGACCGCACCAAGAACTTTTACGAAATGCATTGGTAGTTGCTGCCTATCTACAAAGACAGAAGATCCAGGTGTTTCCATACCTGGATGACTGGTTAACTGCATCCCAATCTCCCACTCTATTGAGGTTGCAGGTACAAATAACTCTGGCCCTGCTCGACAAGTTCGGCCTTCAGCTGAATGCCAAAAAGTCTCACTTGACTCCAACAACCTCCATAAAGCTCATCGGTGCCATGTTCAATTCCTTGAAGCAGACTGTCTCTCTTCCCAAAGCAAAGTTCGCTGCTCTTCAATGCGAGGCCCAGCGTTGTAGGTCAGCCCCGACATCCACATCCAAACAGATACAAATCCTTCTGGGCCATATGGCATCAATGGTCATGTTGACTCCTTTCGCCAGACTATGCTTTTGTCTTCTCCAGAGATGGTTTCTCAACCACTTCAATCCAATCCAAGAGCACAACTCCAAAGTTCTCTTGGTACCGACGCCGGTACGGAAGTCTCTGAGATGGTGGATGTCTCGACACCACATTTTCATGGGTATTCCCTTTCATCCCGCACACCCCTCCATGGCCCTGACAACCGATGCCTCAATGTTTGCCTGGGGGTGCTGCACAGGAGACCTCTCCATTCAGGACCGGTAGTCGCCGCAGGAGAGGACCCATCACATAAACTACCTGGAACTCCTAGTGATATTCAAAGTACTCAGAGCGTTTGCCCTTCTGGTCACCAACAAGACTGTCCAGATCCTCACGGACAACATGATGGCCATGTTTTATATCAACAAACAGCGTGGCACAGGGTCCAGGAAGCTGCTTTCTCTGTCCATGACTCTCTGGGAATGGTGCATCGATCATTCAGTACTGATCACTGCCCTCCATCTCCCCGGCACCCTCAACTCCAAGGCCAATCTCCTCAGTCTAACTCGATCGTCCTCCCACAAGTGGATGTTTCACCCTGAAGAGCTGTTGAGACTCTTCCATCACTAGGGTTGCCCAGAGATTGACCTACTCGCCTCTCCGGCGAATGGTCAACTTCCTCGGTATGGAGCTCATCTTCCCCTGGATCTGATGTCCAGCTGCCTGGGTGACGCTCTGCTCCTCAACTGGTCACAGAGGTTTCTCTACATGTTCCCTTCTTTTCCTCTCATTATCAAGGTCATCGAGAGGATCCAGTCTTCTCGAGTCAATTGCATCCTGGTGGCCCCAGCTTGCCCCAGACAACTCTCCGAAGGCCAGAACGACACACTCCCTCTTCGACCGGATGTACTCATGAAGGAAAACAGCCGTCTCCTTCACCCCGTTGTTCCTTCTCTTCACCTGACAGTGCGGAGAATTCTATGCTGATGTCTCTACAGCTGGCTGTTAGGTCTATCCTGCGTCTTGCCCACAAGCCAGCTACCTCCAAGGCTTACTCCTACGGTATCATTCGCCTCCACAATTTTCTTTGAGCTCAAGGCGAACAGGCTTTCCCACCATCAGTACCAACAATCCTGGATTTCCTCCTCTCTTTTGCCGACAAGAATCTCTTCTTGTTGTCACTGAAGTCCTAGCTGGCGGCCATTTCGTGGCACATCCAGCAACTGGATGGTGAATCTTTGTTTCACAACAACCTTGTGAGGAACTTTTTGAAGGGTTATACCAACCTGCATCCTTCGGTCCATTCTGAGACGCCGGGGTGGGACATAGATCTTGTCCTGTCTCGGCTGACTGCGGCTGCTTTCGAGCCGATGGCGATGGTCGACCTTCGACTCTTCTCTTGGAAAGTTGCCTTTCTCGTCGCGATCACCTCGGCTCATCAGCTGTCCGAGCTCACCATGCTGTGGGTTGATGAACCTTATCTGCTGTTTCATTCTAACTGTGCAATCCTCCTAATGGACATTTCCTTCTTGCCAAAGGTGGTTTCCTTCTTCCATGTCAACAAGGACATTGTTCTCCTGGCATTTTTCCGGAACCCTTCCACTGTCGGTCCACGCCCAATCAACGAGGGCCATGACAGCTTCTACTGCCTTCCTTAAGGGTATACCTTTGGACTCTATGTATAAGGCAGCTATCTGGTCTAACTTTTGTGTCCCAATATAGATTGGACACTAGGACCAGGAAAGACACAGCCTTTGGGAGGTCTGTTCTCTCTTCCTGTCCCCCTTGATGACTTGGTACGTGGGTATATTAATGAATAACTTTTTGGTCATGTATTGTGCTTCTGTGCTGTAACTTGGTCAACTCTCATGACATGTTTACCAATGGTTATTCCTGATGCAAAATGTTTGTCATGGAACGATATGCATTAATGTTTATGCTATGCCCTTTTCTGAGTCATTTGACTGCTTATTTGTACAACATTTATTTCAGGTGTGCCCAATGTTGTCATTGATGGTGTTGTGATAGCAAAAATGTTGCTCTTCTTTACCTCTCTTATACTGTGTCCAGCTGTTTGTCGCTGGCCTTCTTTCTGACATGTGTATGCTCAGGGTTATGCTTGAACTGTACAGCCTTTCCGGGCCTGTGTTATACTCGCTCACTCGGCGAGTTGATTGTCTTTATGGTTGATTTTTAATAAATCATGTTTTGGCTCTTATGAAGGTGTTGGTTTGTCTTTCCTGTCTCCAGGACCTTAGCTTGCTAGTATCCACATGTGTGCATTCACAGAGTCCATGAAGAAAAATGGTGGGCTACATACCTGTGACCATGTTTCTTCGAGTAGAACTCTGTGAATTCACACAAACCCGTCCGGTCTCCCCTCTTGCAAACCTCCTCCTTTCTTGCTGCCTTTGTGGCGTAGGAACTGCGAAGCATGTGCGCAGGGCGATTTTTATGCCCTGCGAGGGGACTGAGCGGGGTTACTCCCAAAACTTGCAGTTTTAAACTTAGGAAGTTTCCGTTGGGGCCTGCGCAGGTGCAGACACTCCACATGTGTGAATTCACAGAATTCCACTCGAAGAAACATGGTCACAGGTATGTAACCCACCAATCTCATACCTGGATATTGTCTAAGTATTTTTTCCATTTAAGGGATAAAAAAACAGGAAATGAAAAAATTCATTATAAAGAAAATAAACCATGATATATGAAAACACATAGTGATGATGTTAATCATCTGGCTAAAACAAACGTATATTTACTATATGCTTAAAGGTAATTAGCTCAATAAATCAAATTATCTGTAATCCATTGTCCAAAGAAATGGACAATGTAATACTTGGGACACAAGACCACATTTCACTATATCTTAGTATGATTTCTGCTCAAATTGAGGAGGAAAGATGAAACAATCTAACAGCATTTTTGTTAAAATAGTTTTAAAATGATACATGCAGAGAGTTCTAGTAGGAAAAGATACCAAATGTATGTAGAAAGACACAAAAAAACCTTACTTTTGTCTTTCAGCTTCTTTTTACATTTTTCATCTGTGCAGGAAAATCCATTTGATTTAAAGTTAGATGGAAGTTATAAGCATTAAAGTAAACTCAACATGAATAAAAATAAATCCATATGCAATATCAACAACTGATTTATTCTCGAGACAGAAAAAAACATTGCACAATGAGATATGCATCACTTGTATTGTAACTGAAAGTGTATCATATTTCTGAAACCAAACTATGTTTTTTGTATGTTACTGCAGGAAAGTCTTCATTTTACATTACATTATTCATCCCTATTTTGATGCTGATATCACACAGCTAATAGTTATGCCTTGAGATCAGGTTTGGAGTAAAATGGCATAATAATTGCGTAAATGAAGTCATCCATGATATGTTATTTCGAAGTATGCTGCGTAACCAAGCAGAATCCAGTCAATGTTAGAATAATGTTGTTTTATACATTCCAGACTGAACATATGGTGAACTCTCGTTATTTCTAGTCTTGAACCTAAAAGTACTCATTTTTGACAGTAATCCCATGTATCCATGGTTATACAAAGGTATTCACCTATAACTTCATGCAGTCCAAAACACAAAACATGGATCACAGATGTAAATAGGTATTTCAATTATGGACTTCCTTAGACAATCTGTTCTAGACCTATTCATTGATGACTTTCCAGACAGGAATCTTATTTCTGTTTGAACCTTGGAGATATATGCCTCTTCATTTTAATGAAGAAGAAAGCTATGAGTGGGCTAGCTGTGCTCTACCACGTTATCCCAGATAACAGTTCCCTGATTCAGGTGCGTGTTGACAGAGGAAAGCACCCTTAAATCAAAATGGTCCCTGTCCAAATAAGGAGACACGCAGGCATATCTGATGCTCATCTTGGTTGGAAAGGTTTTTTCTGGAATGAATTATCTGAACAGTCATGCACACATGAATCTATGACTGTTCGTTTAATCAAGGTGTTTTATACCAGACTAAAATTATGAACCACAACAATCAATGAGCCATGGATTTGGGGAGTTCAACAGATTAATCTTAGTTTTGTCTTACCTCTGTCGTTTATGTCAAGCACTTCTCCCTTCACCGGGTGAACCAGTTTTTCTTGCAAGCATTTTATTTCTGCTTCTTTTTGTTGTAATTTATCTTTTAAAGATGCTAGTTCTTCCTGTGCAAATTGGAAAATTAATATATTTATTTAGAATCTGGCATACATTTCAAAGATTCTAAACTAGCATTTGCTTTTAAAATTACTAGGGGTATTTAAGTTGAAAGTCTGTGATTAAAATCCTGTTGAGCCATGTCAATCTTTACAACAAACTGGGAGGAGTCTCTCAGCCAAGCAAACCCACCCCTTACTTAAATGTGAAATCATATCGGGATCTGATTTTGAAAAATGACATTAAAATGATTTTATGTTTCCTTCTAAACATTAATAAGAGAGTTCCAGAAATATTAGGAAGATAAAACTTACAGGACAATTTTATCCCTCCCCCCCCCCCTCTCTCATATATATATATATACACACACACACACATATACAGAGAGAGAGAGAGGGGGGGGGGAGACATACACATACATACAGAAGTAAAACCTGTTTTCAATAGGACTTACTCCCAGTAACATATGCATAAGATTGCACACTTAACGCAAAAACAACTAACAACTCCAAGCATGCTCACAATACAAACTATACTTTCACAGTGCAGTGAAATTATGCACATATGTGAATGCATATAATATTTATATAATATTGATAAAATTCTGCATTTTTCCTCATATGGGTATTGCATTATAGTAAAAGCAAATATGAATTGCTCTGATTCTATATTTATCAACAAGTCATATCCAAACCAACATGTAGTACCACAAAGCAGCCACCATTTGCAAATGAAAGGTGAAAATAGCATGGTTCACATGCATGTTTTAGTGGCAAATTTTATATTATGCAAGACTAACCATATATAAGCTAAATTTGGTAACTAAATTTCTATCCTGGTGTGTAATAAAATAATGCACCTATTATAATAGCACTCAGTGTTCCATCTTAGTACTATGCACCAAATTATTTCCATGTTAATGCATCCAGAATGATCTACTTTACTTGTTGAAAAGGATGGCTTACTGCAAAACTTCATTTTGTAAAGCCCTCTGTGCAAACTAAACTTGGCATTTAAACCAATGAACTTCAACAGCTTCAACTTTCCTCAGATCAATCCATTCAATATTAATTTTACAGCAATTTTAACTGGGGTTTGACTTTCCCTAAGCATTTTGGGAACTGTAGATTCACAAGAGAACAAAAACTTGTTCAAAAGCTCCTCTATAAAAGAACTGTTCAAACAGCATAAATTTTTAATGTGGAAATGATTAATATAAATCAACCTTTAGCTAAGGGGTTATAATCCAAGTGAATGTGCTAGAAATTCACTTTAGACAATGCTTGCTTAACAGTATGTGTTCTGAAATCCACAAAATAAAGTATGTTAAATAAAAGGAGTACAGTCAAATACCTAACATTTACATTAAATCCAGTTGCAAATTCCACTGAATAAGCTGCTGCTGAGTTAATCAACACATATGTAAATCCCCCTGATTCAATATTTGGAACCAGCAATTTAATTTAGGCCTTCTTTTTTAGAAATAGCAAAGAACTCAATGCATGTACTGCACTGACAGAAAGGCAGACAGACAGACAAGATGGAACACAGGATCATCCAAGTTATGGAAAACAAAATGATTCACAACCAGGTCTCACAAATCTACCACACCTTTAACATTTGGCATTTTTGTTCCATCCGCTGCTTTTCATACTGCATCTGGCCCACTTTGATTTTCATGCTAGAAAGTTTGGCCATTAAAGACTGGTAACAGAGACAGGAGTGAAAGAGAAGTAAAGGTAGCAAAAAGGCAAGGCTAAAAATAACTTTGCTTAAGATTAGGTTTGGCCTTCAGTGAAAGACATTAGCAGCCCAAGCAAGCCCATTCAAGAAACCCACTTTAAACTAGGTAGCACTTCCAAGTAAGACCTGATACAGTTAACTGTCCAGTTGGACTGCCATTAGCAACTAGAGGCCCCCGTGCGTGGAAGTAATCAATCATATTCTCCTCTAAAATGGTCAAAATGTATCATTTAAATTTCTAGATGCACGCAGAAACCAGAAAGAAGAATCAACCAGGGAACATGAGGACCACTCCTTTGAAGGAAAACTAGTTTGTGTAATTTTCTCTGTGTGTACACTAAAGACAATATGTCTCCTTACAATACATCTTAAACGTTAAAAATCATTTTTTAACCTTATGAATGGCTGCTCTGTGAAATAGTTCACAAATAGAAGATGAATCAACATTCTATTCCATTTTGATACATTCAAAAGACACCACAATCAGTTTCATTGTAGTTGCCACTATCTCATGACCTTATTTGCATTAGATTGAGAATTCGCCACGCATCGTGGTGAATCCATGGGGGTCCCGGCAAGGGGGGTGGAGGACCCATCACTCCTCGCCCCACATTGTGCGACTTACCCTGCCCCCCTCCCACCAAATCCCATGAGGGGAAGCATTGCTGCCCAACTTCCCCTTATTGCTTTGAAGGCAAACCAGGAAGCCTCCCATGTTGATGTGCTGCTTCCTCTCCTCTTTCATCATAGAGCCCAGCCAGAAGTTAGTATGCATCTTGGGAAGAGCTCTGTGGTGAAAAGGGAGGAAGAATGGTACTACCATTTTACCAGGGTCCCCTGGTGGTGCAGCATCCTAGTCTCCAGGGCAGCAGAAAACAAGCTTGCTCCCTCCTCCCTATGACTTCCTCTCACATATTTATATGTGGCTATCATGTCTCAGCCTTCTCTTCTGAAGGCTAAACATTTCCAGCTGTTTAAGCCGCTCCTCATAGGGCTTGTTTTACAGACCCTTGATCATTTTAGTCACCCTTCTCTGGACACATTCCAGCTTGTCAACATCTCCCTTCAATTGTGGTGCCCAGAATTGGACACAATATTCCAGATGTGGCCTATTCAAGGCAGAATAGAGGGGTAGCATGACTTCCCTGGATCTAGGCACTATACTCCTATTGATGCAGGCAAAAATCCCATTGGCTTTTTTGCCGTCGCATCACATTGTTGGCACATGTTTAACTTGTTGTCCACAAGGACTCCAAGATCTTTTTTCACATGTACTGCTCTCAAGTTACACGTTCCCCATTCTGTATCTTTGCATTTTATTTTTTTTGCCTAAGTGGAGTATCTTGCATTTGTCACTGTTGAACTTCATTTTGTTAGTTTTGGCCCATCTTTCTAATCTGTCAAGATCTTTTCCAGAATCTTGCCTGGTATTGGCATGAGGCTAACCGGACGATAATTGTTTGGGTCATCCTTTTTTCCCTTCTTGAAGATTGGGACCACATTTGCTCTCCTCCCATCTGCTTAAACTTCTCCCGTTGTCCAGGAACTCTCAAAGATGATTATCAGTGTTTCTGAGATGACTTCCGCTAGTTCCTTCAATACTCTTGGGTGTAGCTGATCTGGCCCTGGGGACTTGAACTCATTTGGAGCGGCCAGGTATTCCTGGATGACTTGTTTCCCAATTTGGGGTTGGATGTCCTCTAATCCCTCATCCACTCCATCTTGCGGAGGTTGAGAATGACTTTCTTTCTGTGAGAAGACTGAGGCAAAGAAGGCATTAAGTAGTTCAGCACTGCCCCATCTTCTCCTCACAGCGGCCCTATCATCTCCTTGTCCTTCCCGGTAGGAGTAGTTTAGAGTGCGCCTAATGAGGTTTGTGAGCAAAAAGGTGTTTTCCTACTTGTGTGAGATGCACCCCATCCTTTGCCAGTAGGCCATCTTCCTGAAAAAGCAGGCCATGGTCGAGGAAGCTAAAGCGTTCCTCCTGACACTATTTTCTAAGCCAGTTATTGATCTGTACTATTTTTCTGGCCCTTGTAGGGCCGTGTCTTACAACTGGGAAGAGGGATGAAAAGACCATCTGTACATTACACTGTTTTAGCTTTTTTTCCAAGAGCTCGAAAATCATTTATGATCTTTTGAAAAGTATGCCTAGCAGTATCATTGGTTCCTACATGAATCAATGTGAGGCGGGGGGCGGTGATGACGCTTAAGGAGCCTGGTGAGCTTCTGAGTTTTTTGCTCCCGGGAGGGAGAACATTTCTCGAGCCATCCCACCCGGTCTGGAAATGATGGCTTCCATTTCTCTAAGGAGGGCGTTGCCAACTACTAAGACCTGTTTCCTTTGAGGATTGACAGGGATTTTATGCAAGGTAATGTGTAGGTCCCCAAACAAGTGATCCTTGCTGTCTGAAAGGTTAGAAGTTCGAATCCAGGGAGCAGGGTGAGCTCCCACTGTTAGCCCCAGCTTCTGATAACCTAGCAGTTTGAAAACATGCAAATGTGAATAAATCAATAGGTACTGCTTCTGCAGTGACTGTGCTGGTACAGCTGTACCAGGAGCTCCATTTCTGTTTGCTTTTACATTTAATGTTTATTGCAGTCCTAAGTTTCAGGGACCCTGCAGATAGGTGGCTTCTTTTGGCTGCAATCATAGGGCAAGCCACCTGTCAATAATGGTTAAGTTTCCTGGTCCCGCCCCTTTTTGAGTTTTGGAGGGAACAGGAGCCATTTTGAGTTAGTTCTCACAGAGAAGCCTTTCTCACAGGACATAGAACGAAGTGGCTCCTATAGAAAAGCTTCGTCTTTTACAGCTTGGCCGGGGTTATACAGCCCTACGCTTGGCCAGGAGACATACAGCCACAGCTTGGCTGAGGGACTCCAGCCGGCCATCACAGCAACCTGAACTCCTTCTTTTTCCCTTGAGGTCTACAAAGCTCTGTTGAGGCAAGGGTCACTCGCGGAAGCCAGACGCAGTTGGTACCGGGTGCAGGGGCTCCACGTCAACAGAGGCAAGTACAGACTGCCCAGATTAGAAGCTAGGATTTCCCCATCAGTTAGTTACAGTTAAGAAGACAGTTCCTGTTCCTAGTGGACAAGATTGAAAGAGCCTATAGACTGTTAAGAAAACCGTTAAAGTACCTGTTTGTTCCTTAATAAAAGAACTTTGTTGGACTTACTTTAAGCATTCTAAAGACTCTGTTTGGGGGAATCTAAGGGCCTTTATTCTGAGGCAGCCCCGGCGTCCTGTTGGGCACAGAGAATTTATGTCCTGTGTACAGTCTAATGCACAGGCCCAGCGTGCGACAGCAGAGTAAAAATCTTCAGCCACAGAAGCAAGCTTTTCCCGCCCTTTTGGAGCTCAGCCTTGCAACAGCTTTGGTGCTTTGCTTTTCCGGTTTGCAGAGGGGCTTTTGCACCCTCCTTTTGGCTTTTTACAGCTTTACTGCAAGAGTTTATTGTGCACTTAAATAATTGTGTATGCTGTGTCTATTCTGCCAGTAAAGTGATAAGGTTTTGAGTGTGTTTGCAACTGCATTGATTGAATTGCTTGCTTTACCTGTCATTATTGCATTGCTTCAAAGTGATAAGCCATTTGTGTGTGCATAATTGCATTGATATATTGCATTGCTCTATTTACTGTTATTTGCTGCATATTGCATTTTCATATTGTGTGTTCTAATCATTGTTGGTTATTGACTTACTGATTGCTCCACTTGTTATTTTATCTGTATTGCTATACTGTTTGGCAATTTGTTATCATGGCTCATATCTCAAGCTCACCAAAATCTGAGAGCAAACCTTATGACTTAAGATCCCAGGATTCTAGACACCCATCTCACAAAGCCTTAGATGCCCTCCTGCAGGAGGAATCGCAACTTAAAGACAGGGTTGAAAGCGTGTGGCTTTCCATTGTCAATCTTGACAACCAGTTAGAGCGTTCGGAGGATTTAGAGAAATCCCAGAACATCAAAGCAGATCTTAAGGTTTTGGTTAGTAAATGGAGGTGCCTGATTGATGACGTTACCCAGGTAATTAGCAAAATAAACTCTCAGGATGCAGATTGTAGGGCAATCCAGTTTTTGAACAGCGTTAAGAATAGGGAGGCTAGCTATGCTCATTTGTTTTATGCAGCTGACTTTAATCCCTCCCCAAGAAGGGACAAAGAAGGTTTAGCTTCGCCCGCTAGCAGTGTGACTTCTGAGCCACTTAAGTGTTCCCCAAAGGCTTCAAGTGCAAAGAACAGCTAGGCAAGCATGTCTGCCTACAGCAAGCATAGCCACACCAGCAGGAAGCACAGCAGCAGACATGACTCCGCGTCAGGGTCTTCTGTCAGCAGGAGCAGCTCCTCAGCGATGGCAGCCCTTTACAACAAAGAAGCCAAGCGGATGGAGCTGCAGGAAAAAATCCTAGAAGCGGAAGCTGAGGCTGCAGCTGCAGATTTAGGCCTGAACTTCAAGCGGGCTCAACTAGAGTTAGAGGCAAAGCAAAAGCAGTCACAAGCCGAGTTAGAGGCGAAATTAAAGTTGTTGCGCATCCAGCAGGAGGCAGCGCAGAAAAGAGTCCGTGCCGACATCTTGGCAAAGGCGCTGCAAGGAGAACTATCTCAAGAAAATGTCAACCGTTTGCCAACGCCTCCTACCACACCTCTTCTGTGAACCCACGTTGGTTTCCAAGACAGCAAGCTGGTGCATGCGGACAGCGACATCGCGCCACACAGGCTGGTCGAGCAATTCAGGGCCGGGAGCCCACAGCCATCAACTCAGGTACCAAAGCCTAGCCCAGAAATCAGAGTTTCGCCCATTCTTGAGGCCACAGATGTTCCTTGGAATGGACCTTCTACATTTCAGAAGAACTTCACCTTTACTCCTGACCAAACACCCCTTCCGTTCCTTCAGACTCCTCAGTTGCAGCTTGAGTCTTTGTTTAGGAATCCGAGAAAAGATTTGAGAGACAAAGGT